TTGGGGGAAAAAAAAAAAAAAAAAAATGTTAACTAAATAATGGCTGTGTTAACATTGTTAAAATGTTATAAATTAATTTTAAATTGTAAATGGCCAGCTATTACGATGAATACACGTTATTCAAAAGGCATTCTTATTTGTAAGGCATTCACTTATGAAGCAAAATGATTCTGTAAGCCATTTATCTACAAACAAATTCAAATGTATATCAAGAGATTTATTTCATGGACTTTTAACTAAGTTTGAGCTCCAAAAAAAGCTTTGCTATAGAGACATGATTCTTAATAGCTATATTCCTGCTTTATAGAGGTACAAAAAGCTTGCCTTCAAATTGACGTTGTATCACAGTGCTTTTGGAAAGGTATCTCACTTTTGAAAAATTCACATTTTAGTCCACATCTCTTCGCCTTTAGACGAAGGCTAGATAAGCAAGAGAAATGTGTAATTAAAAGTTGAAATGTTTTTAACAACCACCAATTTAGAAGATTGCAGAGTAGAACTGCTCACATGAAGGCAAAGCTGTAATATAGAGAGGGATATAAACACTGTTGACTTGTTTGCATGCTTCAGCTGCAATTTTTTTCCCTCAGTTCAAGTTATAACGGATATAAAAATGACATGACCTACTGAAGAGATTAAAAACCTAAAAATTAAGTTAATATAGACACTAAATTCACTCTTCACAATGTGTGAAAAATCAGTTTGAACAGTTAAACGAACTTGGCATAAATAAGTTCTGAGCCAACAAAAATCACAATTGTTTGATACTAAAAGCCACTTTTTTCAAATCTGAAAAAGCCATCTGACTCAGGCTAACAAATTCAATAATGTTCAAAGGAAATGCAGTGGGGAAAACCCGAGAGAGGTGTAGTGGCTTTCCTCCCAATTTTCCATTATGCTCATTGCTCCGTAATATTCAGAACAAAACTTTTGGAATTTCAAATGCTGGCAAATTTTCCTAATTTCTCAACCAAACATGTTTTCAGTAACTTGTACAGTAGTTAAGTCTATTCTTATATTCCACACAGATCATAACAAACAAGACACCCATGCAAATCTGAGCTCCTTAGAAAACTATTAACAATGTCAGTGTTTTGAAATTACAAAAAAAGCAAAAAGGAAAACTGTCAACCTTTAAAACTGTGATACCTCTGTACACATTATTACAATATGCCTCCAGCTTCTTTCCTGAAGTTTTCAGACACTCGTGCAGTTCGGGATCTCCCTTGTGCTTTCACAGTTGTTGATCACACCGCCTACTTGCCGAAAACAGAAATGACACATTAGCCTTCAAAATTTAACTTCAACAAACAAAATTGACTGTATGTATTTTCTTAACACATGTCCCTGGATGATTATTCAGAAGAAAAATTATTTAATAATCTTGCATTTAATTTAAATAACTTAAATGTAACTTTAGTTATTTAAATAACTACCTGAAACAACTCATCTTCAACCCAGACCTACTTTCACGATTCAATAAAATCTCAATGGATAAAATCAAGTCTTAACATGACTTCAAGTTGAATATATGGTTTTGCTTCGAAATGCATAACATTATAGACATTAAATGCATAGTGAATGCCATTTTATGTTATCTTTAAATGCTTGATTATACGTCCAACTATATATTACTCAACTATAAATGAACAAACTAGATGTTTTCTGGATTAGAGTCATTAAACATTTATCCTAGTGAAGGCAAGCAAAATGAATGGAAAGTAGGCTAGATACTGAACTGTCACCGATACTGTCACTGAACTGAAGTAAGAAATCAAGCAAAAAAAAAAAAAAAAAAATGTTTCATCCC